AATTTTGCGAAATCACAGTCTAGTACTATTGAGGGTAAGCTGAAGAACGACCGAAATAATTGCAATTCGAATCGTAGTGCAATTAGCGTTCCGGTTTAGCCCACGACATTGATAGTGGGCCCAACTCATCCGAATTCACGTTGATCTCCGATGACGAAACAGCAGTCTTTATTCGATTCGGTTTGGTAACTCATAACGCGAGGTGTGTATACGTTCAGACGTCCCTTAGAACGGAAGTCCGAAAGATAATAGCCATTGTGAGAAAGTTCATAAAGCTGACGAAAAACAGACGATTACTTTTTACGGGGTTCCTAAGCTTCCAACATGCTCCTGTATGAAAGCAGAAGCACACAACCAGAAGCAGCGGTTAACTCAACCAGGGACGCTGCTTAAAAAATATCGCTGCAAGGCAGGTAACAATTCCACTATAAGGGTACTTTCCCAGGCTGATAGCGGTGATGCTTCAGTCTGAGCAAATGGTACCGCTCATACTGGAAAACTGGCCTACATTTCACAATAGGCTGCCTGTAGAAATTCTGTTCAAGGCCACGTGAACATGGACGCAGATGTTTATGGACACGTTGGGGACGACAAACCTGATGAATCTTTGTTTCTGTGAAGATATTGTTTTAATGGCATCTTTAGTATCCGACGGAATACGACTAAACAACGGAGACCATCAGGGACAGAACAACAGACAGCAGTTGCAAGGCCAAACCGAACTTCAAAGCTAACATCTGTAGAAACGGCTATTGGCAGACCGCTCAACGGTCGGCACAATCTCCATTATTAATCCAAAGTCCAAAAACACACCACGGCTTAGAGATAAACTGAACTGCTCGTATACTGACGTACAAGGCCTTATTAGTAACTTGGTCGAAGTCCGTCACCGTCTATCTTCCGAGCCTCGAGATTTCATAACGATCACCCAAAGGTGGCTGAGTTTTGTAATCACCGACGTTGAGATCGCTCTACCCGGTGTATCGGTTCTCCGGAACAACAGAAGACATAGGAGATGGGAAGGAATCATTTATTACTAAACAAAATTGCACTGTGAGCTAATAGATGATCCCCAAACATGTGTCACTGATCTCCTTTGGTGAAAATTGTGGTTGAAGGAAGGCGACAGATGCCCTGTGTCCGTAGTTTACTGACTGCCTAAATCCATTCCGGAGATGAACCACAGGCTAATATCTGCAATTCATATTGTAAGAAATCGGACATTCACCCATATCCGCAATACGATTTCCACATACATTACCTGAAAACCCCAGCAACCTACAGGAACAGTTCGCGAACTATTTGCACGAGTTAATTTCCGGCATACCCTTGTAAAACCACGTCATCGAGTCCACCGGGTTCAGAACAACCAATCATCCATGAAGGTTGAGTCTAATGCTCACCCTGGAGGAGCTCATTGTTAATGAAGTGAATGTTTGCAGTCCTTTTGGGTTGAAGTGAGCACGTGACTTTACAGTTCCATTCCATTTGCTATGCTGGAAGACCAGACGTAACGCTTGATAGCATGCAACCTATTACGTAATATTCGGTATTGTCCATATTCCTTGAAACACGCTAACTGGACATTCATGACTGAGTGCACCTTAGAGTCAGCTTTGGAAAAATTCTTGAAAACCCGCACATAACTAGTTTTGGAAGCATCAGAACCAAAAGCATTTCATGGTCCATTCTAAGAAAATTTGCACACATATATATGGCGCGTTTTTAAGAACAATCCTAGTGCACAAAATTGGCCAGTGAACGTAGCTCAACGCAACTACTCTGTGCAATGGGTTCGTGAAGCCAAGATAACACGCCAGCAGGAGCTATGGTAACGATTCTGTTCGAACCAAAAACGTGTTCAAAAGACACATGGATGGTCTTCGTATGGTGCAGTGCGGAGTCCCGTCACACAGTACGGTTGGTGTTTATATACAAAAAAACCAGAGAGGTGCCCAGGGCCTTACGTTTATAAACTTCACGTTCGCTGAAAAAACTACGCTGAAAAAACTACTATCCTGACGCACATTCAGCTATCCCAGAATGGATAACGTTCACCCTAAGCACCGTAAGCAGCGTACATGCACCTAATTGAACCAGTATCTGGATTCTGCCATCGATGTTTATAGGAAATCGAGTAGTATAACCCCGATTCAGCAGTGGGGAATTGGATCTTCTCCAGCCACGTAACACCTCTCCATTTGCTCGCCAAATTTATGGAAGCAGCCATCACAGAGGTATCGATGGGCTACTTAGAAAATTACTGAAGTTTGCACCAGAGCAGCACGTGTCTCATCAAATTCGGTCAACTAACACGACTCTGTTGATAGCACACGGTAATTGGACTGAAACAGTCGACGAAGTATAGGACACGAGGTCACCTAATCAGACTACTTTAAAACATGTACTCTCTTGAATAGTTGAAAGTTGCTTCACGAAAGTCAACACTACGGCATCGGAGATGCAGTCTTATGACTGATCACTTACTTTCTTTACAAACCGAAACGCAGATTAGTTTCTAAGCATCTCCCTCAGACCAGCTTCGAGTGGGGTGTGGATTACGGCAGGGTTCGTAATTTGGCCCCACACGTTCCTATTTTTCCTTAACGTACCAGCAAGAGTTACCACCGCAAGATGTTTGTTTTTCGCGAACAACGTTATTGTTTGCGGGCCACAAAGAGAATGGGCAACACGAGATCCTCCAGCGCGATCTCGATGGGACCTGACATTAGTCGGTGAGGGCCGCAGTGACATTCAATGTATTCTAACGCCGCGTTGTCCCTAGCGGCCATAGGCACGTCTATAGCTAAAATTTTGGGACCGCGATCTGCAGAAAATCCCTCAAGAACATGACCTCGGGTTGCTGGTAAAAGACAATTCTAGATGCATCAGATTTTAAAAGTCTGCCTCAAGGAGTGCAAAGCAGCAAGTTGATCCCTTCAGGCCGGCACTCAAGAAATATTCCTCATCATTATTCCTTCCGACGCTCAATCCCTACGTGAGCCCCCATGTAGAATACGCAACCCAGGGGTGGCGAAACTTTCTAAAACCTGCTTTTGAAGGACTCGGCACTCTCCAACATCGAGTAAAGAATTTTTTCAAGAGATTGAGGCACCTTTCGTTCCAGCAACGTCTGAGGACAATCGGTGTGTTAAGAAAACGCTACCGGCTGCTGCGTGGAGACCTCATATTAGTCTACCTACTTTGGAAGGGCCCCAGTCATGTATGCCACCACCTATAGCAAACCAATCCGAACATCAACCTCAGACACAATAGCCTGAAACCGAGTCAACATTATTGTCCCCTAGATTGTTGACAAACTGATTTCTCTGTTCTACTTTGCCAAACTTGGAACACGTTTCCAGCTTAACTGTTTTCAAAAAAGTTTGAATATCTAATTGACGTCATAGATGTTACACGAACGAATACTCTGAATATATCGGGCCTTCTAGCCTCTTAGGAATTATAACCCACAGTGACACACCTAACTTGGTGCCAACGGGTGAGCAATTTGTTTGTTATTAGCAATTAGCCATAAGAACGGGTTATTTTCTTATGCTTGGTATTATCTTCCTTCCACATCGCCTCTTATATGAGTCATTTTCGTTTCATTGAAATATATTATATTTGATCCATTTATGTAGTTTAGGCGTTTCAGTTTCTTCCATTACCATCCCACGGGACATGTTAAAGTTGTGTTACCTATGCATCTCAAAGCCACCGTTCAGTTGCTAGTAATTTATCATTAAATTTTGTCAACTCATATGCTCCTCCCCACAGGACGCACTGTAGTACATGGATTTTTCTGTTCCTCTAACTAAGCACTTTAAAATAATTGTCACTTTTCCTAGATATTTATCACTATGTAGAAGCTTTCCGATGCCTACTTTCGTTCACGTAATTATGTCCATACTTTCGATTATTGCAAAAAGCTGACATCAAGGGTATTTTTCGCGTAAATATCCTCCATCATCATGCTTTATCTGAGGGTCTGTAAACATCGTCGCAACAATACTACCCTGTCCTCTGCACGGCAGTAACTTGTAAGTCAGTGGATAGTGATCTGTGTTATATCACATTTAGTAAATAATTCACGATGGTAGTTGCCGTCACCCGTAGCTCAGTGGTCTCAACCACCATCTGGCAACAGTCGAGTTGCGGGCTCCAGCCTTACTAGGGACCGATGGAATTCGCACTGCTGCTGATTCCCGAAAGGATGAAACGACCGTACAGAGCTTTTCCCGGCGTGCGATGGCTAGCTGAGTTGGTCTAGATGTGGCGAATTTCTACCTATACTTCTGCTAATCGTTTACCCGTTATCAATTTACCAGGCAAGAAATGACAAACCGATTCACAAAGGAATGTTTGTCCCTAGCTTACATCAAAAGGGTTTGCTAAACGGTACTGTTCTTTCGGTACCTTGACGTGATCGTGGTCATTGGGCGCCTAAGAGCATTTCCTGAATAGTTGCATTTAATCAGCTGAACTTGCAGTTCAACATTCCGTACTGTGCTCGCCCTACTGCGTAACAGTAAGCGGGTGTAATATTTGGCATGGAATTTTTTTATATACACGTTTACCCCAGAAGCGGGTACATGATGTGCTGCATTGGTTGAGCGATTCTCGGACGAACCCTCAGGTGCGATACGTGAAATTTTGTCCGGGTATACCAGGTTCGAGTTAGAAGAGATAACTAAACAAGTTGCGCAGTGCATCCATGGGTATTTTCTTGACTCGTTTTACGGATGGTTTTGAACTGGCCAATGAATTGAACCTCCCTACGGATACTGCATTTGCCCTGCACGCACCACCCGGGAACCCACCTGCTAACATTGATTCTATTTCAGTGTAAACACTGGATGAGGCTGTTTCATTGCTCTCTCAGGCCCTAGCTCACTGGGAAGTTGCGGAGGTTGAAATGAACGCGGATTTTTGCTTCCGATGGCCGCGGCAGCTGAAACGTGCTTATCGAACAGGTCGCATAACAATTTCGCTGCTTGATGCGCTTTACATGCGTGGTGGGAGGTGTGCTATGGATTCTGTATGAGGATCTGAACTACACGAATTCCATCTACTCCGTGAGTGAGTATGTTCGATCGTTAAACTATAGTTTATTGGTTGAACTTGAGAACCGCATCGGTTGTTCGCACAAACTCCGCTGGTTGACGGATGGCAAGCCGATAGAGAGCCGTCGTGAGGGTAAGCGAATGTCCACGTTCTCCGTGCAGTTGCCTGTTGCGTGCATGCCCCTTGGTGAGTCTGCGGTAGAAAGATACCGTCGATTTTTCAGACAGTATTTATCAATTGACCTAATAAGCAGCGTGGTTTGTGACTCACCTGAAATGATGGGTGTCGTATGTGTGCTAATTGTGTGGTTGCGACATACATCTATTAAGAATGTTAACCGAATTCCATTGGTCAGAAACCCTGTCGGGTTAGCTTTTATCACGTGTGCATTGGTGACTGCACTTCATTACGAATACTTCCGTCGTCACGAAGGCGCCGTTGTGGATCACGCATTGGCTGAACTGAGTAAGCGGTACGGCCAAGTTGCTGGATATGCGAAATGTGAATGTGTGACAAACGGCCACCAGGGTTACTCAATTGAGGTTGTACATCAGCTGAATGAATTGCAATTGGTATATGTGGAACTACAGCACCTGACGACTTTGTTAGAAGTTATGTGCACATGTAATGATGCAAAAGAAGATCCTATTGAAGGTGATATCAAAACTGGTCTCGAAACGCGATTGCGTTTGTGGCCCGCTTGGGTGATATTTTCAAGTGGACGGTTGCTCTATTGGCTGGCGCAGACTCTGGCCTGCGCTTCTTCAGAAGATCGATTCAACCAGCTGCAGGTGTGGATCCCCGCCCTGTTGCGCACGATATCCTCCGACATCACTCCACCAAGTGTGTCAGAATTGTCGAAGCGCGTTTCTGTGGTACTGGAAGTTGTGCAACGGATGAGATGACAGTGTTAGGGAATAGTACTACTTGCATCCTACATTATTTGCTACCATTTTGCGCCCTATTTTGTGAAATCACACGAAAATATATCTGAACTAGCTCTCGCCTTCCATGACTGCGACGGACTGAGTTGGTATTTCAACCTTGGAGAGTTTTCTGAATTACATTTGGAGACTGTTTTAACCTCAATTTGAGACCTTTAATGTTCAGCAATGCGTGGAATCTCGTCCTGGGAGAAACATGTTGATTCCGCGTAGATCTGGTGAATGTTCCAGCACTCTTCTCCTCAATCTGCAAGCTGAATGTTCCAATTTAGTGCGTAGTGAACCCGAAATACATGCCTCTCAGCCTTTGGAATGTGAGTGCAGTCCGGGAGGAGGGTAGGTTCAGTGCTTTTAGTTAGTCGATTCAGTGTATTTAGCGTTAATTTACGTCGTTCTTTCGACGGTCTAGGCTCAAGCGATATGTACTTTTCTTGGACATATATGGACCGACGGTCAAGCGCATTCTCTGTAATCCTTCATTTCGAGCATTGCCCTTGACCCTAGATTTCACGATCAAACCCGTGTTTCTGTGCTTACAGCAGCCAGCTGTCACTTTAGTGCAAATTTACTAAATGACATTTGATCCACTCATACGGATGCATGATGTCTATCTTTAATGCACTGATGACTGCAGGAAATGGAGTTCCATGTTTTTCTAACTCAAAGAAATGAGTAACGCCGTAAACATTCTAGCTAGGATGTGCTGGCCACTCAGTTCCAAGCAGTTACCTTTGGGTTTGGTGTTTGGACTGTGTTTAATATGCAAACGATGGTGTGCGCGAGTGAGGTCAAGCACGAGTTGGGCGCTAATATGAGATACACGTGTAGCCATCGAGATCGTCTTCCGAAAACTCTAGCCTTCGCTGGTGTGTTAGAACGCCTGAATCAATGACATTTTTATCATGAGTCATTGGTCCCCTAGCACCTCCGGATCACGGTTCAGCCAAAGTTTCCAAGCTTGTATAGCGTATTCAACCTTAGAACATACGTAAATGGAACCGTTGAGATTACTAAATACGAGCACACCAAGGTCGCTTTCTTGGGTATTGGTCTGTTCAATGCGATATATGTTAGTATTCCTGTGGCGTAGTTAAGCAGCGCGATATTTTTCAAAATAAATGCTAGGATATGCAGCACAGTCCTACCCGAAATCGCACCAAAATCGCGCTGGAATTCTTGGTCGTGTGGTCAGTTAATTGCGCGCACCATAGCTTGAGATTTTCCTCAAAGCAAAGGCAAACATAGTTAATTGACCTCTGTAGATCTTTCATAAAAAGCAAGAACAAACGAAGCTCCAGCGCGGTGTATATCAAGCTAAGCAATAAACCTGTCGCCCAAACTTACTTGCGTCTTCCATGATGTAGACTGCTCGTGTCGGTAATGCACCTCCCGGAGACTTGTTAGATTTGCGACATGGAAAACTGTTTCATTCTCACTATGAACACCTTGGTCTTTGTTGTGTCGCCACTGACGCCTTCACCCCACAACCGTAATAAGAAATCCAAAGACGAACCGGAAAGAGAGTTGTATACATGAATTCACATTTGTTTCCATAGTTTTGCAAACAAAATGAAGGCAAGCAACTAACGGCAAGCAACTAAACGGGAAAATAAGCAACCGTGTAATCAAGAGCAATTCGCACATTCCTTAAAACATCATAGGACCCCAATCTTACAGCGAACATAAATTTATATTGACGGACAGAGGCCAATCAGGATACCGAAATGTAGCGTTTAAACAAATGTCACGAAACTAACAAGAATCACACACACAGAAAAATGTAAACTTTGTACAATAATTATATGAAAACTGAATACTGTATTATAGAGCAAGTAGAAATGGATTCTGTACAACTCTGAAGAAATATGATGAAAAACATTATAAAAGTTGTTAGTCGTGATTGTCGTTGTCGCTCTAATGTAACATTAAAACTATCTGACTTACGATATTTCAGGATTCACACATGTGATATGTCATCGTAAGTGTGCAGTCGTTCTCTGGATTGAATAGTGGCAAAATACAAATCCAACAACTTTTTGAACTGTTACACAGATGTTGCCTCAATCACATGTTTTAGTAAACTGTTCCAAATGTTTACCACTCTCCGTTCGAAGCACAGTGGGTGGGGAACACATTTCACATCCGGCACGACAAGTTTGTATCTGTTTCCGGGTGTGCTGTAGGGCCCTCGTAAGTGCAGCGATGGCCTTAGCATGGGGAACTCACCAAGATGTAGAATTCGGTAGGTCATAATGAGGTCGACTTGCACCCGACGGTAGGACAAGGTGTAGAGTCCTAGTTTCTCGTACCGGTCTTCATAACTAAAGCCACGTAAACTCGGGATCATCTTGGTAGCAACGTGTTGGACCCGTTCGATCTTTTGTGCCTCGCCTCGGGTAATCGGAAAATAGGCGGGCGAAGCGTACTCTAGCATTGGTCTAATGATAGAAGAGAAGAGACGAGTGGCAACCTCTTCAGACCATGTGCCGAAGCTACGTTTGAGCGCCAAAAGCATGCGCAGTAAGTTACGATATAGCCACTTTGTGTTGTCCACGGACTTCAAATGGTAGCGTGAGAGTACACCCAGGTCTTTCATGGAGGGTGTGGGATAGAGCGTTTGGCCGTCGAGGGTGTAGACTCGGCAGTTAACACCCTTCACCAGGCTCATAAATACAGACTTGGCTGGGTTGACCGGGAGGAGAACTTCTGCAGACCATGTGGACAGGCGGTTTAGTTCTTGCTGAAGTATGCCACTGTCATCGGGAGCATCGATTTCTCTCCAAATCTTCATATCGCCCGCAAACAAGGCACACTGCGACCGGAGAAGTTTAGGTGGATCGTTGATGTGGATCAGGAACAGAGTGGGCCCAGCAGAGTGCCTTAAGGCACGACACTTGTAGAGGGGTACCAGTCAGTTAGATGGTCCTTGACCTGTACCCTCCACTTTCGTCCAACAAGAAAGTCGCGGATCCACCGGTGCAGTGAGCCACCGACACCACACATTCTGAGTTTGTGAAGGAGAACCTCGTGACTGACCTTGTCGAACGCTTTGCGGAAATCGATGAATATCACGTCGACGGATTTCCCCTCGTCACAAGCAGGTTCGTAATGCATGAGCGACCTTGCATAAAACCGTGTTGTGCGGGCGTCAGGACCTCGTTTGACTGTAGCAACTGCAGCAATCCCTTCTTCACGATTTTCTCAGTAACCTTTGCCAAAATAGGTGTCAGACAAATTGGCCTGTAATTGTCTAGTTTGCTAGGGTCGCTGCCTTTCGGAATAGGCTTCACCACCGAACATTTCCAGTCAACCGGCAACAAACCTTCGGACAGCGACCTGTTGAAAATGTCAGTCATGACAGGAGAGAGGATGGTTGAAAGTGACTTAAGAACCAGTTGGTAAAGCCCATCAGGTCCGGCAGGCTTGGTTCCGTCAAGGTTGGCGAGTAGTTGACCTACCTCTTCTACGCCGCCATGCAGACTGTTGAGTTCGGTAAAAGCGGTACAAGTTGAACTCGAAACAGACCCCTGGTTACTCGCAGATACAGAAGCGAAGTGCGCCTCCAACGCAGACCCACGCTCAGTGCTGGAGGTTAAGGGCTGTCCATCCGTGCCATATAGCACTGGCACATCACCTGCCGGCTTCAGGCGTCGCTTCACGTATGCAAAGATTCTCTTTGGGGCAGTGCCCGCGGCTAATTCGAGCTGCTCTTCGAGATTGTCGGCGTTGATTCTTTTTTGCACTGTTGCAGAGGTTCCGCCTACATTTATGCCCTTCGTAATCATTGGCAGAGCCAGAGAGGAGGAATTTGTCCCACAGTCTGTGCCACCTCCGAGCCAGGTTTCCATACTCCTTGTCAAACCAATGAGGCTTAATCGGTCCAACCTCTCGACATTTCAATGGCACAAATTGGGAACACAATGACGTCAATCTTCATTCTTTAGTCTATCGCATCGGAAACACAAGTAACCGTTGAGTTCAAGTTCCTGGGTGTATAACTCTGCATGCAGCCATGTCTCTGCGGGTCCCGCTACGTCTGGCCGCTTAGACGCAAAAAAACAACCAAGCTCATCGCGCTCATTCATAATACTGCAAACGTTTGTGAAGGCTACTCGCAGGTCGCAGCAGGAGCCACCGGGCGTGCTTGAAGTGTGAGCAGCCTGTTTATCCTGATTCGCGGATTGTTGGAAACCACCCGAAATTTTACGATACGAAGATTTGTTTCCCCCTCACCAGTGCGTCTTTTCAACTCAATGATGGCAGACTTGAGCCGCTCCCTGTCTACTGGGTGCAGGTCTGGACGAACATGGATCTTCAAACCTTTCAGCCTACTTAGGCGAGACATGATCAGCCTTGGACTGGCTTCGTCCACAAAAGTGATTCTCATAGGCCGATTTCGTTGATCACCTTGCTTTCCAAGACGGGTAATCTGCCTCACTTTTACCGAGTCCTCACCAGCGTCGAGGAGTCTATCAATTAGACCCTGTAAAAACTCGACATCGTGATCGTAGCGCACTTGGGGTGATGGATCACTGGACTCCGGTGCGTGAATGATCACGAGATTATAACGCCTCTGGTTGGACGAGGTTGGTCTTGCAGAGCGAAGTCTACAACCAGCCTCAAGTGCTTCGGCTAACTGTTGACTTACAGAACGTAAACGCCCGACGTTCCTTCGTAATTCCGTTCTCAGTTCTTTTCACTGGTCTTCAGCACTCAGACTTTCACCTACTGGGACATCAGTGTCCGTTGGACACAACAAAGGTAAACAATTTAGGCCAGGTGCAACTGGGCTTCTCACAACGGTTGGACTTCGTGTCGGTGAGTTTGCACGGGTAGAGGAGGACGGCTGAGCCGAAACCCTAACGCTCTTCGGGCTAGGTTGTTGGGCCAAACACACGGAGCTGTTCGCAATGAAACGCTGTGGTCTACACGTCGGCTTTACTCTTTCTGGCTGTACCTTA